ACTAATACTTAGCAATTGCTCGAATTCGAGCAACAGGGATACTAGTAATTATAAAATTGTGATTGAATTAAATATTAGTGGTGAAAAATTAAAAATAACAAAAATACATTAAAAACTGGGTTTTTCAAGTTCCTGTTTTCGAGATTCTATTTGTAGCCAGATTTTGGCTGCCTTTATTAAGTACTTTCAAGAATAGCATAGTAGTTATTTGTAGTAAATTTTATTCTCTTTCAGAATATTACATTCACTTTGGTCGATTTCCCCTCCATTTAAAAGATATTGGCAATAATCTAAGTGATCTCCAAATTTATAGTGGTTAGAAAATACTGAATTAGCCTAGATATATTCTTGTTAAACTTTGTTTAACTAAATCTAGACTTCTACCGGACCGATTTTGTTATTTAATGGGTCGTTGGAAAGCCTAATTTGTGTAGATTTGCAAATAATTATAAAAGTTTGATTTTATTAGATATTTAAGGTAAAAAAAATTAAAAATAATGCATTTAAACCCCCTTTTATTCCAGGTTTATATTTTCACTTTTATATTTGTAGCCAACTTTAGGCTGCCTTTATTGAGTATATTCAAGAAATTCATAATAGTAATTTGTAGGAAATTTTATTCTCTTTCAGAATATCACCTTCCACTTTGGTCGATTTCCTCGCCGTTTCAAAGTTATTTGCAAAAACGTTAAGCAACCTCTAGGTTTATAGTAGTGAGAAAATACTGAATTAAAGATGTTGTTGTTAAACTTTGTACAATGAAATCTACAGTTCTACTGAACCGATTTAATTAATTAATACGTCATTGGATAGCCTAATTTGTGAAGATTTGCAAATAATTATGAAAGTACTGTTGAGGTTGCAAGCAAGATCTTTGGCTATAAATCGATGATAAATAAATCCATTTTTTGAACAATTTGTGTTGGTCGTGATTTAGCTGCGTGCTTGAAATGGAAGCTGGTATTTCAATGAAGGTTCTTAGGTCAAAACAAACAGAATAACGTAATTAGAATTAAGTAAATGTATATAATTATAAAACTAAATTCCATATCCAAGATATAATCAAATTTATATTTTCTGATTGAGCGATACAGTATCTTGAACTTAACTGATTAAAACTATCAATATCTCAAGTGAAAGCCTTTGAAGTATTTGAAGACGAGTAAAAAACATATGAAATAACATAAATAAAAATAGAGTTACGTATCATTGATTGCAGATAGGTACTAAAACGATTATATTTATTGTTGATTCGTGATTCAGCAGTGTGCTTTAGGTAGTCCGATCTTAATAATCAATAGCTCAAATGAAAGCTGGTATTTCACTTAAGGTTTTTAGACCAAAATGTATAATGTAATTTAGAACTGCTGGAATACATCTTTAATTAAAGAGAAAAAATTCTTTCGTCGAGTAAACATTAGATAAATTAATGATGATGCTTGATGACAAATATGTGCTTGCATAGCTTTATTTTAAGACCAAAATTATGAAAATCGGGCAGGTAGAAGAGCTAACCCGACTCGGAAAAGAAAAACCAATTATTTTTATAGATGGCAATAATTGGTTTACCAGTATGCATAATCTAATCATACGAAACATGTGTTAATAATTCAACAGCTTATTGTTATATTGTTATTTAATTAATTTTTCGTTGATTAAATGTTGTTGTTAACAATTTGCATTTATGTTTAAAGTGTGTTCCTTATGTTAAATGTGTGATTCTAATGTTATGTAGGTACTTAAACTGTACCATTAATATTAGTGAGTAAAGTGGTGTATGGATTTCATAAGCATTATTTTACTAGAGACCGTTGTATTTAACCACAACGGGCACTGTTGCTAGTATACTATAAAATTACTAGCTGTAACCCGCGGGCTTTGCCCCGTTTAACTTCTTATTATCAAGATTATCTCGTTCGCATGGCTCAATCACGTCCTGATTGAAGTTTGTTCGCTACGCTCACTCACCTTTAGGCTGGAGCTCGTTCGCTACGCTCACTCACCTTTGGGTTGGAGCTCGTTCGCTGCGCTCACTTGCCTTCAGGTTAGCTCGTTCGCTGCGCTAACTCGCCTCCAGGTTGAAGTTCGTTCGCTATGCTCACTCAACCTTTTGGTTGCAAATTAGCTGTTGTCATAAATGTAAAAGAAATAATAGTGCTGCACCCTGTTGGTAATCCTTGTAACTTTAATGCTATTAAACATCATAGAACAGAACCAACTTGTTTAATTGAAACAGCTGTTAAGATTCAATAATTCCATTTCTCATAAGGTTAACATGGGAAACTCCAGAGCCACTGGGGCGGAGCCCGAAAGGATTTTTGAAATAAGAATATGCCTATATGTTAATCGGGAATGTGAGCTATCATCATGCCAAATTTCAGCCCAATCCGACCAGTATTTTTCGCGTTCACTTGTCACAAACATACATCCATACATCCATACATCCAAACTTTCTCATTTATAATATTAGTAGGATATTTTAAAAAGGTTAATTATCTAAAATGTAAACCTACATCTACTCCTGAAATAAAGATCCATACTTAAATCAACGATGCACTAACTACTCAGTATTAACTGTATGTTTTGTACTGTACTTCAATAAAAGAAATTTGAGAAAGGATCAGGGTGAATGCTTCGCACGGGTCGGCTAGTTAAGGAATTAATGAATCTTAACAGCTGTTTCAATTAAACAAGTTGGTTCTATGATGTTCAATATTATGAAGTTTGCATTATGAAGTTATGTACAAGGTTTACCAGCACTCTGCAGGACTATTGACTTTTTGTTCGAATTGATGATAACAGCAAATTTGAACAAAGCAGCAACAAAAAGCTGTGGTACACAATGAGAACTTTCTATTTTAAATACTAAATTGCTGTGGTATAGGGTAATTTTATTAAGTGCATAACTCATCGACTGATTGACCTTATTTTTCCCCAAATTTTTATAAAAAATTATCGTGTTTGTTTTCCCCATAAATAATGTCTGGGAATCGGAGTAGCGTTTTATAGTGGTTTACGCAACGATTGTGTACACTACTTTACCTATGATATGAGAGTGTTTTAATTACTAAAAATCACTACCTACTCAAAACTTCTAAGAGAGGTAATGGTTTGTTTATAACCTTTCATTTCCACTGACAGTGATGCAAGGAAACATGGTACCAAACAGTAATTGCACCACTCAACAATTAAATTGGCCTGAACAGCTGGTTAGTTGAAGTTCGATTCATTACAATTTTACTTCTTCTCTCTCAATCCTTGAACCTCATTGGTCCATCACCCGTGATGTTATAAGTAAAACTATGCTGTTATGAGATCAATTATCAATTATCAATTATCAATCATTAAGATGGGGACGCCACTTAGGTGCGTATTTTAACCCAAATATGAGTGAAGGATGAGTGTAGAATGGAGTGAGATGATCTGTGTAGCTTTGTTACTGACTAAGATCAGCTGTTTCATTATTCAGGATCATTTATTTAAAGCCCAATGATCACGAACAGCTGGGTCCAGTTTCGAACCATCAAAAAGCTACTGACTTTTTTCAGGATCGAACCGGCGACCATTTAATTAGTAGGCGAGCACTAAACCACTCAGCTACCCAGCCTATCCATACTATAGATACTTTTCCAATATAACCACACGCTTAACACGTTCGCTGCGGGCCATCAAATGGCAGGCGTAGCCCCAGTGCGGCGCAGCCCGCAGCGTCGAACAAACCCGATTGCCGGATGATTGGCTCTCATATTTCGGTATGACGAATAGCAAATAACGTGCGGTGATGTCCTGTTTTATAACAAGAGTCGACGTAGTTCGCTAAACACTCACAGACAGCAGCACTGCATGGAACGTAGCCGGTCCCATTGTATTGCCAATTGGAGGGAGAAAGACGGGACAACAAGTTGATTTTTAAGTTTGCCAGACGGGGATTTTATGGGGAAATTTTACTACCAACCTACAACACAACAAAAAGCAAGTCACCAACTACATGCTAACGTGGAATAGCTCTGCCTTTGACCAACGCTAGATAAAAAACTATGATATACGAAAGGCATTGCCGAGCGTATCCGATCGGTTACGGCAGCACCTGAACAGCGCTCGGTCCGTATCCGATTGGATATGCCCGCAGTGAACGTGATAATGGAGACAGTCAAATTTCATTTTAACTCTCTCCTAGGGCTCTGCTCTGACAGCTTATTTAGTCCAATATTGTTCTTCAAATTAACCATGAAAAGCCACTTGAAATGCCACACAACCCGGTAGGGCAATCAACAGTTTGATTAATACTTATGAAGTCAAACGGGGCAAAGCCCGCGGATAACAGCCAGTTAAAGAATAAACAAAAAACAAATTAATACTATTCAAAACAAATCATTGTCCAACTGGTTTTAAACAGTCTTTTGGTGCACTCTCCACAAAAATAAACCTATCTTGTTTCACTATTCTTGCTTTTCATTCTTTGGTTTTTAATATATAAGAGCGGTTTTTAAGTAATGGGTCATTATTGCACATAAATCCGTTGTTCGCTTATAAGCCACAACAAGGCTCCTTGCCACTTACTGGCATTATTTGTGAACTCAACAGAATGACACCATTTGCAGCTCTGTAGCTGACATGTACACTTCACTGTGTGTTTAAAAAAATGTTAACCATCGAATCTCCTGCCAAGTGTGAGACAAAGTCGGTGATACAAATGTCTTTTGATTACAAGAAACATATCCGATGCCGACATTCATCGCCAGATGACTTAAGGTTATGGTCCTAATACAATGAGTGAGGGTAAAATGCAGAAATGGGTTGTGGGGTGTAACAATGGCAGTGAAAACATTCTTCCATTTTGGTCAACTGGGAGAAGTCTGGGTACCCACCAAAAACTCAATTCCTTTTGAAAAATGAACATTTTATAAACATCCATTTTTAAACTCCCTAGCCTATTTCTGCAATTTCCTCCTATCCAATAGCATCATTCATTTTTGGATTAAAGTGAAAAGATTTTAGACTAGAAAAATGTACATTTATTTACAAAACAACTCTATTAAAAATTAGGCTGCAGCTTGAGATGAGGGTGAGGGAGATTGTACTTCGCCCTTAACTGCAACTTGGGTAGTGGAAGGGGAAAGATCCTCCGCAATACGAAAAGTTGCTCTTGCGGGCTCCTTGGGAGGCATCCAGTCTGGTATGATCTTGGCATGTATTCTCCATCTCCCGTACTTGTTGGACAAATGTTTCTCAAAAATCACATACTCCAACACATCCTTTGCCAGTATCTCACTACCATACAATAGTCGACCAAAGCGATCGTAAATTGCCAAAGTCTGAAAGAAAATTGCTGTCTTTAATATACATAACAAAGAAAGGAACTACAGTTTCATTTAATTTCTTGCAATAAATATAATATAAAAGGAACCAGTAGATGGAACGATGGAACCATAGAGAACCTTAACTACAAAATAATGTCGGTTATCTTTCCCACTTATCTTACACACTTTATTCTGGTTGACATTTTTATTAAAAAGGTGCTGTTGTATTTTCCGTGAAACCCTGTGAAGCAAGGGCACTAATGCGTTACCAACAGAAATACACAAATACCCCCGCCGCAGCAAACCTGCAGGCCAGCTTTCTACCTGGCTGGAATTCTACTAAATTATTCCCTTAAAATTGTCAGATTTTATTTCCTATTTAAATATGATTAATTTTAATGAGTACTTAGGTTTACAGCTACAGGGAAGAAAATAGGGGGGGGGGGGTTATTGAAATATTGATAGCTTAGTATGAAGTAAAACAAAAATCAAAATGTCATTAAATTACGTCTATAGACAAGCAAGCTACAACAGTTGATTTATTCTCCATAAGAATAACATGGTAATTTTAAATTTACACTTTTTTTGAGATTTTTTTTCATAAACGTAAGGCATACAACAATGCTTCAATATACTAAATTATTTGTTTTTTTTAGTTTTTTTTTAGCTCTACAAAATGGTTTGCAAGGAAATTGCAAAGTTTTATGTTATCAGGGTGAAGATGGGAAAACCCAATTTTTACCCTATAAACCACTGTTCCCATTGTCCGATCATGCTGGTTCGCGAACTCGTTCGAATAAATGTAGGTTTACACGTTTATTCCAAATTTAATCAAAATTGGATAATTTTTGCTAACAGACACATATACTAGGTGTACAATGCAGTTGTCTGCTTGAAAATATTGAGCGGAGCTAGCATAAATCCAATACTTTTATAAAGTCAATGCTACATCAGTTCCTCGTAAATGAGATTAAATACAGTATCCAATGTCAATTTATATTTGGTTCACATAAATGGAATGTCTATTTGCGGTATGCAAAGTCAATTGTAAGACTGGTTCACGTAAACGAATTGGCTACTTGCAGGAACCAAAGTTTATTTTTCATCTAATTGTCATATATTAAATATCTACTTGCAGTATCCAATGTCAATGGTACGCCTGGTTCACTTAAATGGAATGTCTATTTACAGGTTCGAGGTTCTAAAGTGGATGGTATGTCTTGTTCACGTAAACGAATTGTTTACTTACAGTATCCAAACTTAATAGTACATTTGGTTCATGTAAATGAATTGTCTACTTGCAGGGATGTGTTGCAGAAAGTCAAGAGTGCCGGAAGGTCAAATAATTTATTCTTGTACCATTAGGTCAAAAACAATATTATTTTGTTGTTAGGTCCATAATTGGGAAAGTTAGTAAAAAATTCTAACTAGTTGTTAGTTTAAAAAGTAACTGATAGAAGTTATTAGTTAGTTGAAAAACTAACTGATAGAAAATAAAGTTAGTTTTCGTAGAAGTTAGCTGTTTGTTGGGCAGTTAATTGTTGTAAAGTATTTCGTAATGACACTTCTTGGTTACTAATCTATACTATAATATGAGTTAAGTTTGTGCACAATGATTTAAAAAACGGATCCTACGATTTCCTCCAATTGCAATGCTATTGATAATTACTTTATAATACATTTGCATTGTATGATGTATGACCAGGCGCCTGAGACGGACAGTTGAAAACTCGGACACTTGATATTTCGATATTTTTTTTATAATTAATTAAACTCGGACAGTTGATTTATCTAAATATTATTAGTTATTTATCAAAACTCGGACAACTGATTTTTCTAATATTTTGTAATTTCTTTACAAACTCGGACAGTTGAAAACTCGGACAAATGAACCTCACCCTTACCAGCTTACATTTTTCACCTAAATTAATAAGAACACTTCATATCTATATGAACGAATTTGTACATAGCGAAAATTATGTTTTAGCGTAAGTTTTTAAAATTAAAAGCAGCATGAAAATTTTTAAAATTCAAATTGCAAACTACATGAAAACTATAACAATAAATCTACGAGCAAAATTTTAAAAAATTTTAAAATTTCAGAAACACTGGTTAAGTGTTTTTTATCGGATCAGGCTAGCTTTTTGTACTATAGTATCATCAATACGCAGGGCCGGTTCTAGGAATTTTTCAGAGTTAAGCGAACACCCGAATCAGCGCCACTTAGGAATCCCCCCATTCCCCCCCCCAAACCAATAACATAACATAACCGTATTTGTGAATTTTTTCCCAATCATTTTGGGAAGAACGTTTTTATAAGTTTAGGTTAGAAGAATACTTGCAATAAAAGACTGTTTATTATTCGCATAAATTTAACATTTTTACACTTTTACTCATCATATAAACTTTAGCAAAACCAAGGCCACACTAAAAAAAACAGGCCGTAATCAAGGCCACACTAATGCTCGTCAAGCATGAGACACGATAGAAGACGGCAATGACGTAATGTTTACCGTTTGTGATCAGCTGCTTGTTTTAATCTTTCCTTGGAAAATAAATAAATAAATACCTACGTCATTGCCGTCTTCTATCGTGACTTCTTTGGGCTGACTGGACTCGCCACTAGATGATTTAAACAAAAATCTACTCATTGATTTGGCTTGTTTTTATCTTCCTCTTCCAAATTTGCCTTACCCTTTTTATAATAAGTGCTAGACGTTTTTTTTCTGCCATTGTTTTCTTAGTATCGGCTCGCTAGATGTTTTACTCATTTATTCAGTTTATACTTTCTTCTTAATTAATGCGCTAATTATAAATTAAACTTAAAACTCTCGTAATCATTCACTTATCAACATCATGAATCATCAAAACAACGCCATTACGATACCGATACACGCTAATACACTAAAAGAGTGCGATACAACGTAGTGCTCTGCTCTAGGATAAGAGTCAGAAGGGAGGGAAGGGAGGGGGAAGTTTCTTGTTGTGACAATTGGCGCTGCGCGCTTGCCTATCTCATCTCGAGCATGAGTGAGTCGTGAAATGAAACCCACAGGCGCCACGCCGTACGCTGCCGAGCGTCAGCTCACTACAAAATCGAAACTGCAAATGGCATTGAGTCCCTGAGTTAATTCTGTACAAATATACACATTTTTCAAGTGCTGTTGGTACAAACAGAATAAATGCCTTTATTGTGGTATACTTGAACTCTGAGCAAAAATAAACAAAATTACATTGTTCACGTAAAAAAAAATTGTTCCGTGCGCCACTTTTCCGTGGCGCCATATGCGGCCGCGTAGTTCGCGTATGGGTTAAACCGGCCCTGTCAATACGTCACAAGGCTGAACCTTCCACATACTGGTAGCTGGCAAATACTTAAGTAAACCAGTATCTCCTCAGATACAATTTATTTGTTTATTTAGCAGAGTAGAAACTTCAGATACAGTAGCTATAGTGTATTTTCTTTACTATACACTATATACCTTGAGACTTACCAACATAGTTAACATTAATAACATTATTTAACATTTAGTTCTAAATAGAACAGGTAGAGAAAGAACTAGTCTAGATATCCATAGAGTATCAACATAGATCAAACATAATTATAAGATTGGTATTATATGAAATACATTACAGTTAGCATAATTTTAATGAAAACAAAAGTCATAACAATAATTGATTTTTATCAGGGTTTTTAGGGGCTTCTGCCCTTACAAGCCACCAGTCATATATTTAATTTCATAATTTTGAATGGCGATTCTTTGCGTCAAAATTGTGGGAGTCTGGAAAGTGACAGGCAGATGGGAGTGTGCTTAAATAAATGGCAATTACTCCAGGGAAAATAGTGGAATACCGAAAGTGTCAACAAAAGGTTTGATATAACAAGAAATGTTCTCCATGCTCGCATGTTCTGCGATAGCATTGCACGTCATAAACAGCTGATTTTTCTTACTTCAGTACAGGTGATCATGCCTTATGTTCAATCCAGTACTCAATATTAACATTTGGGTTATATTACTTATTTGCCAGTTAACTCTGCAATGAACAGTATGCTATTGCTATTGCATCTTTTGTGATTTCTCTATAGAATATCATACTTAGTTACTCCTACCGCTTACACATGATTGACAAGCTAATGGGAGAAAGTATGCGTCAGATTGCTGAAACCGTTTATTTTCTTAACTATTGACGATAGAAAAGTCACTAATAAACCCAAAACATGGTAAAGTCAAATACCTTCAGTATAGAATTTAGAATTATAGTCGTAGGCAAGAGTCAATAAAAATACTTATTTTAATACCTATAGTAATATTAATCTATGCTTTCCATATCCATAGTAATACAGTACAGTACAGAACTCATTGACAAAATTAAAGATACAAGCAAACATTTCGTTATGAGACAGGGTGTTTATTTATTTATAGCCTAAAAGTAACATCCTTTAGAGTTAAGCGTATTGTTCCCATCGCGAGCGTGAGAGCGGAAATGCCGAGATTCCTAGTGAGAGGATGCATCCTCGAAAATATTTAATTAATTCCCAATAAGGCTTATGTTGCTTGGTGAAATCTTATCTTATCTTACTAATATTATAAATGTGAAAGTTTGTGTGTTTGTTTGTTTATTTGTTTGTTTGTTTGAAGTTCAATCACGCATTAACTACTGGTCGGATTGTGCTGAAATTTGGTATGATGATAGCTAACATTCCCGATTAACATATAGACATATTCTTATCTCAAATATCCTTTCGGGCTCTGCCCCAGTGGCTCTAGAGTTTCCCATGTTAACCTTATGAGTATTCAAGGAATTTAAGAATTTTGTCAGCTGTTTCAACTACAAGTTGGTTCTATGATATTGAATAGCATTAAAAAGTTATAAGGTTTACCAACAGCACTATTAATGTTTTTGCATCTATGATCTATGACAACGACAACAGCTAATTTGATGAACCAAGCAGCAACAAAAAAGCTGTGATATACAATGATAACTTTTTTCTATTGTTTAGGTGCAGTGGTAGA